GCACATATAAAATAATGCTTAGAGAGCTGGGCATACATACCAAATACACATAAAAGATGTGTATGGGAAGGAAACACTAGACCAAGGGTGTGACCACCTTGGGCATAAAGGGGAAAAGAACAGAGAGAGGAACACAGAGGATTTCAACTGTATTGGTGAAGTTTTATTTCTTAAACCAGTGATGAGAAGATAAGGGTGGTTATGCTAACTTTCATCTTTTTGTATGTCCCAATAACCTCATATTTTAATTTTAAAAGTTGCTCAAGGCCTTGCATGTAAGAAAATGAGGATCCAAGGTTAGAGCTTACCCTTCTCATGCACCCTGGTGCTAATTAGAGAAAATAGGCAATAGGAGGTGAACAGGAAGAAAAACATTCTACTCACTCCATGTGGTGTTCTTTGTACAGACCTCAAAAGGGATTTGTTTTTTTTACACATCTATAAATTATATTTAGGATTATATGCATGAGCTAGCAGTGTCTGCCTCTAGAATTTTTTTTCATTTTTCTTTTATTATTCATATGTGCATACAAGGATTGGTTCATTTCTCCCCACTGCCCCCCACCCCTCCTTACCACCCACTCTGACCCCTCCCTCTCCCCCCTCATACCCAGCAGAAACTATTTTGCCCTCATTTCTAATTTTGTTGTAGAGAAGAGTATAAGCAATAATAGGAAGGAACAAGGGTTTTGCTGGTTGAGATAAGGATAGCTATACAGGCATTGACTCACATTTGATTTCCTGTGCGTGGGTGTTACCTTCTAGGTTAATTCTTTTTGATCTAACCTTTTCTCTATACCTGTCCCCTTTTTCCTATTGGCCTCAGTTGCTTTAAGTATCTGCTTTAGTTTCTCTGTGTTAAGGGCAACAAATGCTAGCTAGTTTTTTAGGTGTCTTACCTATCCTCACCCCTCCCTTGTGTGCTAAAGCTTTTATCATGTGCTCATAGTCCAATCCCCTTGTTGTGTTTGCCCTTGATCTAATGTCCACATATGAGGGAGAACATACGATTTTTGGTTTTTTGAGCCAGGCTAAGCCTCACTCAGAATGATGTTCTCCAATTCCATCCATTTACCAGCGAATGATAACATTTCGTTCTTCTTCATGGCTGCATAAAATTCCATTGTGTATAGATACCACATCAAAAGGGATTTGTTTAGTGACAGAGATCTTACCTATACATCAGCAGCAATCTTGGAAAATATGACATTAAATATCGATAGTGCTTAAATCAATAGTTTTCTCATTGCCTTTTATATTATTATTTAGAATATGTCTTTACAAAAATGTTGGCAACAAAATCTAATAAAAGCAACAAAGGGAGTCCCATATACATTTCAAATGGCTTTGTTGGAGCAGAATCCTGTGGCTTTTCCTTCTCCCAGATAGAGCTATCAAATAGATAACGACCCCATGCTTTCCCCTTAAAGTTCTTGTGCTGAAATACTCCACAAAGCTTGTCTCTGTTTTGTTGACAGCTCTCTAACTTCATCAAGTTACAGCAGGAACTCCTTCATTTCCCCTTTTATTTAAAAATTAATAAGTATGCACTGAATGCCCATCAGTTGCCAGGCTCTCTGCCAGATGCTGGCGTTGGGGCAGGGAGTATAGTGAACCAGACAGGCCCCACCCTGCATGAGCTTTCAATTTCCTGGAGGAGACAGAGAAGTAAAGCAGGTAATTGCAGTTGTCCCTTGGCATCTGTGGGGAATTGGTTCCAGGACCCCTGTAGATCCCCAAATCTGATGATGCCGAAGTCCCTTGTATAAAATGGCATCTTATTTGCAGCTAACCTATGCACGTCTTCCCTTATGCTTTAACTCATCGCTATATTACTTATAATACAAGATCAAGTATTTTTGAATCCAGGAGTGTGGAACCCACAGATACAGGGTGCCCACTGCATGGTATACAAGATGAGGCTGTGATACAGCCCGTGCTGGGCCCTGGTATGGTGTAGTGAGATCCTGGTGTTGGATCTCAGAAAGCCTCTGTGAGGGGGTGACATTTCAGCTGAACACTAGAGGATGAGGGGCAACGGCTTCTGGGAGAGAAAGCAATTTAATTTTCTGCAGGCAGAGGATTCAGTAGTTCTGTCATGGAGTTTCCACTGTCAACCAAAGCTGAAGAGAAATGATAACAAAATATTTGAAGGTATCCTTTAACCTGAGAAAAAAGAGCTGTCTTATAATGAAATTAGAAGGTTCCTCTTCAGGTGCAGCTCATCAGCCTTTCTTCAGTATGCTCAAAACAAATATAGCTGTGTACGCTGGGTTTCTACTGCTCTTTATTAAGTGTGCAAACACACCTCTGAGCTAAGTGCACATGTCAGGAGCTGATACACCCACAAGAGCATAACTGCCCTGACTTTACTCCATGTTTAAATATCCCTCTTGGCCTACTTACCCGGTAGGAGAAACAGAAGCTCAGCCTCTCTGCTCACACAGAAGGTCACCACACAGCCTGGTGAGGGCAGGGAATGAAGGTGTCAATGTGGCATCTTTCAGCCATGCTAACTCCACTTAACCCCTTACATACTGAACTCATCAGTGTGATTGGGTAGTTTACCTTGGACTTGTTATAAATTGAGCAACTGATTTGATCACAGGAGATCTGCTACACCTGAGCACGTCCTGCCTGGGAGTGTTGGTACCAATGGGAGGGGGAGGGGGAGGGGGGTAGGGAGGGCGTGGGAGGGTGAATATGGTGCAAATACTGTGTACACATGTATGTAAATGGAAAAATGACACCTGTTGAAACTGTTCTAGGAATGGGGGCAAGAAGGGATAAAGGAGAATGGTGGAGGGGTAAATTCAAGTATGATATATTTGATACATTGTAAGAACTTTATAAATGCTACAATGTACCCCCACCCTGCACAACAATAAAAAATGAAGAAAAAAATGACTAAATTTGACTCATTGTGCTATCGTCAATGGGATGTATTTCATCTTGATATTTGTTTCTCCTGTTATTGAACAAATGACTGTTTTGTCAGAAAAAAATAAAGGGCGGGGACCTGATCTTCAGGAGATGCCAGCACACGTCACACAGGAAATCATGTTCTCTAGTCACAATTGACCCCCAGAGTGGTAGTCCCACTAATTAGAAGGAAACATACATAATTTAGATAACAGGATATAAAATGAAGCTCTCAATGTTTATTAATTATAATAAAATGTAAAATCAAAGTGCTATTTTAAAACAAATGTAGTCATTAAAAAACAAACTTTAAACAAGAAAGTGATTTTTGAAAACTCAAAGAAGTCTAGGTGCAAGCAAAGATGATATTTTAAAGTATCATCAGTGAATCTTCACAAGACTTTCCATCACAATAATATTCATTTATATCTTCAATCTTACGCAGCCACAAAGGCACAGTGAGGAAGACAGGAATTGCTTCTGAAAGAAAATCAAAGAGGCCTGAAGCGATTATTTTTCCTAAAGGATCTTGGGGAGTTGAAATAAGGCCTGCTTCTCCACGGGCTGACAGTACTGGGCTGTGATGAGCGCTTCAGCATCTTTTGCTCTGATTTTACCTTTGAAGAAAATGAAAGGGACTCAGCGTAACATTCTCCCTCACAAAGCCAGGCAGAATCAATCTAACCCCAAGAAATGCTCTAATCAAAGTAAACACTAAGCCAACACCCACAAACGCCTTTAATAGCATTCAGTAGCATTTCTTTCTCTTGCTAATCTTCCTCTGAATTTTTAAAAACAAATCTTCCTGAATTGGAGGAATAATTCCAGTAATCTGAAAATGACAGAAAGGCTGAAACTTTGGGGCTTGATAGTGTTGGTAAAGACTGAAAGGTTCAACAATGAGAGCCCAGCACGTGGGAGTGAGTTATTCAAGTGTTCATTATCCAAATCCCTGCAGCAAGGGGGCTTGTGTAGGCAACACAGGTGGTCAAAAAGTGAAAATGCACAGTGCCTGAGTAGGTAGCAAGGCAGACCTTTGTTAAGCAGTACCCTAACTCACACAAATGTCCCCTCCCCATCTATCAGGTCAACTTCCAGCAAGACCATTGCAGACTGCTGAATGTGGAACCATCTGAAAACATAGAAAAATCCAGTCTAGTGAAATTGCAAAACCAACAGGATGTGTAGATTTCATGAAGTCAGTGATGTTGTAGCGATGTCAAAACCATAGCAAAGCCATTGTCATTAAATAGGGATCTAGCAGAGCAGGGCCAGAAAACAATTGAAGAAAAGAAAGTTGAAAAGGATGGTGGTAGGAGGTGCTTCCAAAAAAGAAAACTCTGGGACTGAAGTGGCTCAAGAGGTAGAGTGCCTGCTTTGCAAATGCAAAGCCTTGAGTTCAAATACCAGTGCCACCAAAAAGAAAACAAAATTAAGTAAAAAAGAAAGCTCTGCATGTCAAAAGACTGAAGGAAATGGATGAATTGCTCAAACATCTTGGCAAAAATAATCACATCTCTAGTATTATTCCAAAAATTGAGGGTGAGATAAAGTACATCAAATGCTATCAAATCGTTTTCCTTTTTAAGGATACAATCATTTATTTCCTGAATTTGGGATTTATTTTTTATGCATTCTAAATTCTAGAACATAATTGCACTTATAACACAAAGACTCATTTTTCCATATAAAGTCCTAATAAGTTTATATAAATATTGACCACAAAATAGTGCTCCCTGTTTGAAATCGGGCCCTCTGCATATTACCAGCCTACTGCTGTGGGCTCTTAGTAGAATCTTTAGGGCTCTGTTTAATGTCCCTAACATTCCAGAGAATGAATCTCTAGCTAGCCCAAGGCCTTCTTCAATCAGAACGCTCATCTAAAATTCTGTCATCAGGTCTTTTATCAGTCTTCCCTTGGTTCAATTGTCCTTGAATCTTGTATGACTTTGAAGCCTCTGACCTTGGACTCTTCAAAGGCTTGTGAATAAAGAGTTGCTAATTTCATGTGCTGATATTCAGATACAGACACTCAGGCAGGAACACTTTGCCCACACCCTTACCCCACAGCACCCACGTCAGGAGTAAGCTTGCATCCTGGTCCCAGCTGAGGACTTCAATGTGATGATTTCTCCTTTATAAGGTTCACGCTTCACTGGGGTAGGTGCGCAGGTCTGAAACAGAACAGATTTCCCTTCTCTCTTGTGGTTTATTGACTTCCTGAATTCAAAGCTAAGCATAGCTTTATTAAAAAGAACAAAAAAGAACCGTGTGAACTTACCGAGTGCCCCCTTCCCTCTTGCCCTCTCACAGTATTCCCCAGTGACTTTGGGTCTCTGAGTTGTTCTCTCTGCATCCAAGTCTCAGGGAATGTTCCCTTGGGGCCTCTGCCCCTTACTCCCCAATTTCTGAGTCCTAAACCATATCCTACAGTCTTTCCACCATTCTAGCTTCAGTCCTACTCTCCTGTGTTCCCAGAGTGCTTTCCTGTACCTCTCCTACCACCCCCACACTGAGCACTTTTGCTGCAGAATATAGCAATTTGCACATAAGCCTGTGTCCTCATCCATGAAATGGGGTGAATAAGGCCATCTCTCAGATACTTGAGAATCTCTAGAAACAAAGCATTTCCTTCATCACTCAACAGGCATTTATGGACACACAGCCCAGATGTTTTGCCGAACACAGAGGATACAGCAAAGAGTGAGACAGAGACACAGCCCTGGAACTTGAAGTACACACTGACCCAAGGCCATGCCCATCCCTGTCCCTGTCTTGTGTCTCTGCTCAGAGGCTTTGCTGGACCTCCATTCTGCCTCACTATCCAGTCAGTCCTTTTCTTTACCCTGCTCCTGTCAGCATTTTGAGGAACACAGACACCCAGAAATGAAGGGCCAGCTTCCCATTTCTGCTACTCAGCCCTGGACACTGTGGTCACCTGGAGGTTCCACACCTGAAACCTTATACTCACCCTCAACTCTCTGACCACATCCTAACTTTCAGGTCTTTGTCCCTGCATTTCTTCCTCTACTGGCTTCACTTGCCAAGCCAGATGGCATGATGTATCACTTAAATCTAGGATGTCCATATAATTTATCATCCAAAAGTGGAGACTTCTGAGAGAGGAAAGTATACTTAATGTAATAAACAGGTATAACCCAGCGCCTTGCAAGCAAACCAAGATTTCTTTCCACTTTCCTTTGACCCCTTTCTTGCCTGTCACATAGAGGGTTTTGGTTTTCTGTCTGTTCCTCTTGGTGTTCACATTCAGCAAACCCCATGGGTCTGTTTCAGTTCAACCATCAGTCTTTTCTGCAGCAGAGCACTCCTGGGAAACTGACACAAGTGGGTGTATATTTGTGACACCTTCCTGTATGTTGCGTGCCCCTCCACAGCAACAGCTCTGTCTCCTGCTTCCTGCAGTAGCTCCTGCACCTTTACTGCTGGCTGTGTACAACTGTTACCTTTTGTTCTATCCTGGGCTTCTTGGGAACAGATTGCAACACCAGTGATTCAGGCAGGGTCATCAAATGTGGGCCTACTGCCCTCATTCGGAAGTGGGCTTGTTCTGCAAGCTGGTCCGATGCCTTCCTCGGAGCCAGGCAGGTCATAATCCCAGGCCCTTGCATGGGCTGGGAAGCCCTCTTCTTTTGACCTAAATATCTCTGACTCCATGCTGCTGCCTTCCCTTACCACATCTACGACTACACGTGGCACATGCCAGATCTCTGTAATGGCACACAACAGTTCTGTTATTTGTTTATTTGTCTGACTGGGGGCTGATGTATGGCTCTGTTTCTGCATAATAAATATGAGTAAAGAATTTTCTCGAAGGGAGCACTTTCCAGCTAAGATTTCTTTCGTCTTTGTGTGAGTTCTCCTAGCCTGGGCTGACTCAATTTCACCATAATCCTTTCTTGTACTTCACTGTGTATCTGTTCTCCAGGATGAACTTTCTTGCTGGACAGCTGCCCTTTGGTGGGCAGGTCTCAGGTTACTGGTTGTCTAATAACTGCTTTCTGGTTGCTCAGTGGCCACAGCAGTGCCACCAAGTGATGTATAACCTCACTGGTCCCTCTGCTCACATTTGTCAATCATAAGTCTGACCTGATTGGTCAGGTCAAATCTGCACAGTCTCACTGTCTGTCTGCCTCCAAGGGTCCAGGTGGACTGGGTCTGGTTTCCTTTCAGAATGGCCATGAGGCATTGACCACTCCTGGTCACCACTGACACCTCCGAAACAAACAGAGCTTCTCTCAGGAGCCTTCTGCTGTCCCACATTTCACAGTCCCTCACTTAGATAGGTAAGTTGACAGGAACCAAAGACAATTTAAATTCTGATCTCAAGTCCCCCAGTACTTTTAACCTCTGAATGTTTTCGTCCTTATAAGGGGGTTGCATAAGCTCTGTGCTAGTTAGAAAAACATCTTATTCATCTTGTGCTGCCTCTTACCCCTGGCGTTGTACTCTGTATTTCAGAACCTCAATAGATGTTCACTGTGACAAAATGGAAAAGTGATGGCACTCACTCTGCAGAATCTATTATTAAGAAATTCAGCAGCACATTTTTTTCTTAAATAGATTTAACCCAGCACTCTTAGGAAAACTAGTCTTTCTTCTGTTCTCCATTGACAACGGCAAATCTCTAGCTGAAATGTGAAGTGCCCAGCATGAGATAGACCCCAGCCCATGGAGGGACCAGTGTTCAGTGCTCAGACATAAAGTGGGTTTCTTTCTCTCATATCCCAGATGAATACAGTGGTCTCATAGACTCTACCCCAATTTTTCCAGCTTACATGTATCCTTAATTCTTAGAAGATGTTCCTGCAGCATAAAACACACAGGAAGACCAGGATGAACAATCAGAGGGACCTGAGATGAACAAAGCAAGCTTGTTTCTTCTCTTGGCTTCTGGGGCTCCATGTTCTCCTCCCTTCCTGCCTCACTAGTCATTTTTCTTGGGCTTCTTTGCTAGTTTCTCCTTTTCTGGATCTCTGAAGGTTGGTGGACCTCGAGTCTTTCTGAAGCTTCCTTTCATCTCTAACACATTCTCGTTCGTGGCCCCAGAGCTGTGGTTTTAAATCTATGTGCTGTGATTTCCAACTTTCTCTCCAGCCTTGATCTATCCCCATGTCTAGATTCCTCTGTCCAAGTCTATCTGGCTATAGCAGAGACACATAAAAGTGTGTCATGAAGAACTAGGACTTATACACCAGGAACCAGAGTTGAAACAAGTAGGATGGGGTTGCTGTCTTGATGGCTACATCCTCGGTACCTCAAATCATGCCTGGGATGAAATGAAGAATCATTTCACTGCCTGTCAGACTTCTTGAAGCATTTTGCCGTGCTACTGGGCAATGTTGCCTGAGGGTAACATTTAACATTGTTTGACAATTTTTTCAGAACACTAATGTCCTGAAAGTACACCTTTGTGAAGTTGGCCTGGGTTGCACTATCTTTTTCACCCAGTACATGCTGGTCAAGATTAGATGACCACATGTCAACAGCTGTGGTTTCCATCTTAATGCTATCACAGTCAAATAAAATGGCTTAGGGTAAAACCATGTGACAGGCTGTCCTAAGTGGCAGAGAAAGCACAGACGGCTCCTCACCTGTTAACAGGATACTGGTGGATTACTTTAGCAGATGACAGTTCAATTTGGGTTCATAATATTTAATGACAATTGTCATTGTGATGAGTTAAGAAAATGACAAAAATGAGAATTATATCATATGTGGCACTATGAATAAGCATCAATTGCAATCATCATTATATCTGCATAATTGCAGAAATGCTTTCGGTTAGCTGATCAGGGAAAGAGGAAGTTGTAAATTGATAGAAAATTTAACTCTATTGTCTGCCTGGAGTAGGATGCTGGGATGCTAGATTTTCTGAAAATCGCAAGACCAGTAGAGAATAATTCCCAGGGCCCAGGGGAGTTACTGACACAAGGCTGCCCATGGAGGCTAAGATACTAAAATATCAGTGAAGACTACAGAAGTTCCAAATACCAAACAGTGGATGGCCTGACATCAAATAGCTCTCCTTGAGGATGCAACCCATGCCTGGCCTAATGAAGTTCACCATGCTACCCAGGGCTCTGGGAGTCAGAGCATGAGCAGCCCCCAGGTTCAACAGAGGTGGCCTATTACAATGAAAGTGCATACAGTTTGATAGCATTTTACAATACACCGCATGTCTCCATTTCATCCTTAACCTACCCTATGAGCTATTGCTCAAGGACAATGCAACAACCCTGGGCCCTCTCATGTCAGGGTTGGATCCTCTGGTAATAAGTTTACCAGCTGGAAGGTCAGTGAGCTATGTGCAGTGGGGACACTGGAGAGCCCTAGCCTGTCTGAGGATTGCAGGTGGGTGGCAATGCGTTGAATAGGGATTAATGTTGCAATTAATGCTGTAGTGGTAAGACTCTATTTCTTAATCTATGAAACAGGAACACCACTACATATCTCCAGGGTTGTTGTAAGAATTAAACTAAGATTGACATCTAACTGATGGTCAATAAATATTTACTAAATGAATGTTGAATGATTAGATAAAGCATGAAAAGAAAGTGCCTCTTGAGTATCCCTTGTCCAAAATGTTTGGGACCAGAAGTGTCTTGGATTTTGGAATATTTGCATAGACTTTACTGGTTGAGCATTCCTAGTCTGAAAATTTTAAATCTGAGATTCTCCAATGCATTGTGCCAGTCAGTGCACAAAAACGTTCAGATTTTAGAGCATTTTGGATTTCAGATTCTTGGGTTAGGGATGCTTGACCTATATTGAGAAAGTGTAGTATACCCAGTATTGCTATGGTAAATGTCAGTAACCAGCTCTACTCTTTCTTTTCTCACCATCTATAAAATCCTAGTTTATAGCCTTGCCTATTTCTGTAGTGTAAATTTGCCCACCATATCTGCTTTCAATCTACTAAAGTGACATCTCTGAATGAGCACTTGAGCAGAGATGCACACAAGTGTCTCTTGTGAGCCAAATGAGCCTGCTTCAGCATATGTATTACCTTTTGCTATTATTAGCAATCAATCTGAGGAAACTAGGACTGTATGGCCATCAGTGATATGTCTTAGATTACTTTCTCTGAGCTATACCTTGAGAAAGACATTGACAAACTATTATTTCAGAAATGGAAAATACCCATTTCAAGGACCAAGTCAGCCATCCACTCAATTTTATCTTATCTAGAAGGCAAATTATGCTTATCGCTGCAAAGATACAACCTAGTTTAAAAGCTTTGGCAGCAGTATTCTGAAACCATATATTACTCCAAGAAGCTATTCTTATTTCTCTATAAAATCCAATGTGACCTGTATTTTCCAGAAAAGTTTGGAGTTGCTTATAACTGAAAAAAAAAAAGAGGAAAAGAGATGACTTAGATAAGGATGCATACATCCAATTTTTGGTGGAAATTATAACACTCTAAACACACAAAGATTCCAGAAATATAATTCATTTGAAATTAAAGAGCTATACATTGTTTGGTAAAGGATTAACAGTATATAATTTTATTCTTTCAGGAATCTGTTAAAATGTCTAACTTGCTATTAGTTTCATTTCCTTTCCCTTTTATTTGTCTTTCTGTCCCTCTACAACTCTTTCTTAAATGACTTTTTATACAAAATTGAAATGTTTATCTACACTATATTTATCAGATAAAGTTTGAAGTCTTATTTTCTGATTTAAAAATTTTTCCTGTAAGGATCAGCTGTCTAAAATTTGAAGTAAATAACAATTCCCCAAAGCTGTCAAATTTGTGAAAAATGCCTGGTCTTTCTTTTAAAATCCCTCACAACACCCAATAATAGTTTTAGTTGCTTGGTGCTGTAATAAAATCATGGACAAGAATCTAGTTCATGGGTAACCTTACACCCTGGGATGGGGCAAGGTCAATATTCTGGGTAAATTTATTTAAACTACTTTCTATACTCTTCTAAAGCAACTGCCTTTGTTCCTTTAGTTTGGAGTTTATAAACTTATCAAATGCCTTTGATGTACCAAGTACCAGCATGGAAGAATCAGATGTTCTCCTGAGGGAACTTAGACTCTGACCATGACCAGGTGAGCTCTGGAGTGGGCAAACACTGACCTAACAATGTAATCCATGCTTAATTGAAAGTAATTAACTCTCAGGAGGATGACAGGTGAGTGGCAGAACTATTCTGAGCCATTCCCGACTATCTTCAAATTCATATCCCTATTCACTAAGAAGCCTGAGTATTTTAGTTTTCCTTTTCTGGGGTGCTGGGGATTGAACCTAGGGCTTTGTGCATACTAAGCAAACATGCTACCACTAAGCTAAATCCTGACCTGAAGAAATCTGAGTATTTTGAATGAAAATCAAAGAAACAGCTCTGACTGCATCATGGGAACTTAAAATCTAGAATTACTGATAAATCTTTTTCTGAACTTCAGTGTAATATTTTTATTCTACAAGTTATCGTTACCTAATTAGAATGGGGTTCTGAAATAGTTCCAATTTCCGTACTTCAATTCATTTTACTCATTTTGTTTGACATTTTTCCCAACATCTTTTTTAAATAATGCATTTCCTCATGTTTTGGGTTTCATGATTATTTCCCTCTTTTTCTTGTCTCTACAGATACCACATGATACAGTAGGAATCAGAAAGAACTTATGGCAAATCCTGGCTCTTATGTTTACTTCTTAGCCCAGGGACAATTATTTCATTTTTATGAGGCTCAGCTTTCTATTCTATAAGATGGGAATGAGAGCACCCTCATGTGAATGTGGGAATTAAGTAAAAGAAAAGCTGTAAAGTGCTCACACAGTTCCTGACAGATAGCAAGTTCTCACAGCAATGTATGATCATAGTGATAATCATGTATTGTTATTTTAAAACAATAATGCACTTGAGTGCCTAGAAGTTGGTATCAGAAGGAAATATTTAGAAGCTAAAATAATTCATAAAATTGAAAGTCAACACACACAAAATGAAGTAGACATTAATTTTATCAACAAAACCAAAAATACTTTGAAAAGGAGAACCACGAAATCAGTCATTTGGTGATGTCTGCTGCCCAAAACATTTTCCCTACAAAAAGAAGACTGATCTGTGTGTATGTGTGTGTGTGAGTGTGTGGTGTTGGAGTATGGGGACCCTGTTGGTCTAGCACCTTGCATTGGATCCACTTCAAGCGTGACATTATCTGTCACCCAGTGAGTTCCTAAATCCATTCTTTTCATCCATCCCCTGGGTGACTACTAGAGCCTTACGGGTGAACCAGCAGCCATCGATGCTTGCAATTCAGATAGTGGTGTTTTGAAAGACTCTTCAGACTTAATGCTGAGTAATTTAGTTATCATTACCTCATTTAACTCAATCTTTATATCACCACAGTATAGTTTGTTGTTTAACTGTACAGCTTTTGGAGTCAGATAACCAGGGTTTACGTTCTTCCCTGCCATATACCACCTATGTTACTTGGAGACGTTTCTTAATTTCTTGAAAGTTCAGTTTCTAATCTTTAAGATGAAGGAAATGATACAAGCTTGCCTCACAGGGCGGTTGCAGCACAGAGTCCTGAGCATCATGCTGGTATTACTACACAAATGTTCAGAAACACCTGAGATTCTTACAGTTACCACCCACCTGTCACCTATCAGTGTCAACAGTTACAAATTAGCCTCACAGCATAATGAACTGCAACCTTAAACAGCATCTATTTTGACTGAAATACACCATATAAGGAATTATAGGAGGGCTGGAGGAGTGGATCAAGCAGAAGAATGCCTGCTTAGCAAGTGTGAAATCCTGAGTTCAAACTCCAATACTGCTAAAAAGAAAAAGAAAAAAAAAAGAGAAATAATAAGAAGGAAAAGAAGGAAGAAAGAAGAAAGAAGAATTGTAGGGCCAGGATGTAGCTCAGTGGTAAAGCACTTGCCTAGCATGTGAAATTTGAGCCCTAGTTCAAGGGGAGGGAGGGAGGGAGAAGAGAGAGAGAGAGAGAGAGAGAGAGAGAGAGAAATAGAATTGTAGCATTTCTGTGACATGAAAGCATTCTAGAGCACGTTACCTAATCAAAGCCTTAGGAAGTGTTAATAATGGAAGAATTGTGTGTAATGGATTCTGAGAATCCACAAAGTAAAAAATTTTCAGAACATATTAGAGGAGAAATCAAAGAGACTACAAGAACTGAATGAAATGAGTCAAAAAACAGCCAGAGATTTTTAGGAAAAGAAGTGCACATTTGAGAAATGGGAAGAAGAGAGAGAAGCAGAATCTAAAGGCTACAAAGCCCACAAGGCCAGGCAGAGAACATGGGTGAGGCCTCCTGGGAGAAAATCAGAGAGCCCATCCTTTCTAGGGCCCAGCCTTGCAACTCTGGCTTGTTTTTGCTATGTGGGATTGATACCACAAGGTTTCCTCCTCAATCCTAAATACAGAAATCTAATTTTTTTAATCAGAAAATTTCTAATATTTTAGTACATTTAAGCATAGTGAAATCTAAAAACCACCTTAAACTCTGTATAAACTAAACATTTGAAAGCACAAGATAAATGTAAAAGACACATCTCTTTTAGAACCCAGAACTATTACTATTACTTCAAGATTCAGTCATCAAAATGGGAAAGCAAAAAGACAGAACTGACATTTACTGACCTCTGACCCAAATTATATATTTGTGTGCATATGTGTGAAACCCAAATTTTACATATATTTATGTTTTGTTAGGAAGGCAAGTTTTCATTTTCCAGATGAGGAAACTGAGCCCAAAGATGACAGGGGACTTGGTGTTAGCAATGTAGCTAAGCAGTTGAGAAGGCAAGGTAGAATTCATATTTTGATCTATCTCCCCACCAAAACCTATCACAGGCAGGTAGTCATGGGAGTGTACCTTGCAGACCTATAAACCAAAGGGAGCACAATTCTTCAAGGGACCCGAGAGAGCTCTGAACTAGATCAGGGTTTGCACAGAGGCTACACCTCCAGTAATTGCTCCCAGCCAATGAGTGGGCTCTACCCATAGCTGGGAGACAGGTGACTTGCCTCCAGGTCTCCCAAAGTGCGTGCTCAACCTCTCTTAGATTGTAGGGCAGTGAAGGGCACTTTTGCCCCTCTTTCTTGTTTCGTTCCTGGGTCACATTTGAATTACCACCCGGGGCCTCCCATTTTCTCCCACAGGTGCTTCTTTTAGGAAAATTCCTGCACTTTTATCTATTAGGACATCTTAGAGCAACCTAACACAATTGCCAAAAGGTCCCTACAGTGGGTTCTGAACTTGCTGGAAAAAATACCAGGAAACCCCTAATAGACACCAGACTGCAAAGGGATTCGTCCCACTGATTCTTTCTTTGAAAATTGATATTTGTTTTTAATCTCTTACATCACCCTTGACACACAGGAGATATTAAACTAAGTGTTATGTGACAACATCACCACCACCACCAACAAACCAGACATCCAGGGGTGGGTGACAGTCCTGTGAAATGACTCACCTGGTCTCGTTGCTTGATTCGTTTGTAAACATAGTCAGCAAATGGTTTACGAGGAATAAATTTCCCGTCTCCTGACATGACATTGAAAACTCCATCTTTGTACACCACTTTGCCTCTTGAAATTGTCACAAGAGGCACCCCATGGCAGACCATGCCCTCAAAGATGTTGAAGTTAACAGCCTGGTGATGAGTTTTTGCTGAGATAGTCCTGTGTTTGTAAAAACAACAACAAACAAGATCCAGATAGATCACCACCAGTGCATTTGATGTATATAACATTATTAAAAGAAGAATGACTTTGAGGAAAATTTAGCAATTCTGTTAAGTCATCACTTTATCATTGTAACAAGTGACTTTCAGAATAGAACATAGCATGAAGATTTCATTACAAAGTAATTACATTTCCTAGGAGAGAACCCTAAGAGATCAGTCTTTAAGGTGATGAATGAGGATAGAGCAGGTGAGGAAAGGGCACTATCTCCCATGTTTAGGCTTTTAGATTATTTTTATGTGCTAAAAAACAACATTCTTTTTTCATGATTTAATTGTGAAACATTCTAAACATTCTGGTGAAGATGCGGACCTGTTCTCCAGCTCTACCGAGTTTTACTTTGTGACCATACAGTAGAGGCTTTTTCAATACCCTTCCCAAATCCACTCTTGACCCTGCATTCCCAGAGGCAATTACTATTTTTGATAGCTATCAAGGAAAAATAGATATTGAAAACTTTCCCCCTTGTCTGTGAAATGTGAGGAAAATTGGAATAACCAAATAGGTGAAAATATAATCTCTTAGCATATTCTATGTCATGTATTTGAATATTTATCATTACTTTCAGTAAATTTATCTTAATGTAAGGTAAAGTTGAATGGATTTGCCATTGTTGCATGACATTTTGAAGTATAAAAACATCTGGCTAATAAAAAAACACACAAGCTCACATCATTGTTTTTGTGGTGAGAATGCCTTATATCTATTCTCTTAGCATTCAGGAATACAATATGTTATATTGACTATGTTGTACAATAGAGCTCTTGAAATTATTCCTCTGATCTATCTGAAATTCTATAGCCTTTGACCGATATCTCCCCAACACTCCCAACCACTCCAGCCCTGAGCAGTGACCATTGCACTCTATGTCTAAGAGATCAACTTTTTTTATTTGACAAACAAGTGAGATCATACAGTATTTGTCTTTCTGTGCCTGGCTTATTCCACTTAACATAATGTCCTCTAGGGTTATCCACATTGTCACAAATGGTAGGATTTCAATTTTCTTTATTGCTGAATAGTATTTTATCATGCACATATATGCACATTTTCATTACCCATTCGTCTTCTGGTAGAAACTTAGGTTGATTACCTATCTTGGTTATTGTGAATAATGCTGCAGTAATGTGGGAGTGAGAATGTCTTATGGACACATCGATGTCATTTCCCTTGGATATATACCCAGAGTGGGATTGCTTTATCACAGTAGCTTATTAATAATTTCCAATATTAAAAATGTGATTGGTGACTCTCAGGCTGGGTATTTAGAATGGTGGGTGCCTCCTTAAATCTCGTTAAGTGGAAAAGAAAAAAATCTGGCAGCAGTGAACAGTATGGGTATAAACTGAAATCTGGTAGAAAATTCTCTTATTCTTCTCAGGGATAGGTCAAAGAGAGGCACTATTAAAGCTTTAAGCTGAGCCCAAGGAAGAGCAGCTCAAAGGTCCCCCAGCCCTAATCCAGAAAGGTTGAGCTGTTGTGTGCTGCAGTCCTTGAAATGAACGAGGTAACACTGGCCTGCTTTGTGGTTCCAGACTCTTATATCCAACTGTTAACTGGTTTCCAACTCCACCCTGCCCACAAGGATGTTTGATTTGTAATGTCACTCACTCAAGTTTGTTCCTCCCTTGAGTTTCTCATCTCAGTAAATGACACCATCTATCTTCTCACCCCTCAAACTATCACCAAGCTTGGTGGCCTTACATCCCTTAAACTAAGAAAGTCCCAAGCCTGCCCACTTCCACTCCTCTCCTCTGGAACTATTCAGTGCTACACCATCATCATCTCTCGTCTGGATTCTCCAGCACCTTTTGTTCTCCCTCTTCCCCTCTCCACAAAGCTGCTTGAATGATCTTTTAAAAATGAAAATCAGATCATGTCACTCTCTTATTTGAAACACTCAGTGGCTCCAATCTCTTCCCTAAAGGAGCAAGGATGATAGTAACAAAAATAATCTGCTCTCAATGAGAAATATCTGCAAAGTATTTCATCTTCACAAGATGTCCTTCTCCAAGGGACAGTGTATCTTCTACAGTATATAGGGAAATAGATTGAGATTTAGAGGGGTTAGATAACATCAAAGAACATTTGACTAGGTTTGACAAAACTCAGATTTTTAATTTTTTTTTAAATTTACAATAAAAACAGCGTTTTGGGATGCAGGCCTATGAATTTTGACACAGGCATAGATTTATGTCATTGTAGTGAAAATCAGAACAGAGGACAGTTCCATCCGCACCCAAAACTCTTCCCATCCCTCTATAGTCACATCTGCCCCCCAGCTTTAACTCTTGTTTTCCATCACTGTAGTTCTCTCTCTTTAAGAATGTCATATCAAAAAAGCTTAGAGTATGTAACCTTTTGAGACTAACTTCTTTCATTCCACATAGTTCTCTTTGAGATTCATTCAAACTGCCCTGTGTTTTAATGGTTCATTTTTTCCATTGTTGAGTGTTATCCCAATCAGTACCTTGCTGTGTCATCCATTCCACCAAGGAAAGGACATTTGTATTGTTTCCAGTTTTTTTTTTTTAATAAGTATGACTAGAACTGCTGTAAGTATCCAGGTACGTGTGTTGTATGAACAGTTCTCTATTGTAAATACTCGGGGTGAAATTGCTAGAGGTCATGACATGATGAGTGAATGTGACTACAAAGTAATAGGAAGAGTTTTGGATAGGTGATGGAACCGACCTGTGCTCTAATTGTCATAATAGTGATGCAAATCCACACATATGCTGCAACAAAAGAGCTTGCTTACAGATAAAGGAAAGATTTAAAAGATCACTGATGAGTAGATAGTAAGTACAAATAAAACAATAATCTCAAATATTGAAGAGGGAGAAAGGTGTTATTCAAATGGTAAGTCACTAAAGTGAGAAAATGGAAAAAACGTTTAAAAAGATACTAAGCATAGAATGAGTTAGGATGAAATATGAGTTGGTGGTGAAAGATTCAAGTTCAATTAATCAATCAATCAAGGAAATGATATACAGGGGGTTTAGACCTTCAAGTTTCAGTGACCTTTTATGACAATCACAATCTCTCTACCAAATATTGCCACAGCCTATAATTCATAGTTACACCAGTGACAAGAGCTCTGGGGGCTCCCACTGTAGGATGAAACGTAAAGATGTTTGGACTGGTGCATTCGTTTTGTTTTTTTTTTTTTTTGGCAGTACTGGGGTTTGAGTTCAGGGCCTCATGATTGCTAAGCAAGCACTCTGCCACTTGAGCCACTCCACCAGCAAGGACTGGTGCATTAGTGAGGCTGCTATATGTAGAAAGTAAAATGAATTAAAAATTCATGCTGAAATGGTTATTGAAGTACAAGAAGGTTATGGAAGGGAAAAAAGAGGAAATCCAAAGGTAGGAATTTCTGAAATTCTAAGGAAAATATCCTAACAGAAGAAATAAGCTCTATACACAAAGACTGTCACAACAATATTGTTTAAAATATTGAAAAACTGAGGCATAGCAATTTTCTGATGACTCTTTGATGGAATATTAGACATTTGTTAAAGACTAGAATACTCTGGAGAACTAAAAATACCTGATAATTTTATACTAAATGGAAAAACATGGTTTCAAGAATATGCACACTACATCTACAAAGAAAAATCTACACATGTGGAAAAACACAAAACGAAATATACAAAGTCATGTTTCTTGTGGGCTGGGAAAAATGAATACGGAGGACTCAAAATATCCTCAGCATTCTTGTTAAACTATTTCTATGACTTAAATTGTGATTTTTTTTAAAATGAGGTTGACAGGAACTGGGACTGTGGCTCAAGTGGTAGAGCACCTGCCTAGCAAGTGTGAGGCCCTGAGTTCAAAAATCCCAGTACCACAATAAAAAAAAAAAATGAGGTTGACATGGCAAAATATCAAATCAGATTTCTCTGCATCCTGCCCAAAATGAAGGTCATTACTTTGACTTTCTCAGCCTTGGGGTTAGCAAGAGAAAGAGGACAATTAGACAACAACATCTAAGAGATTCTTTCTAATAAGGCATTATGTAAATGAAGTCGTATAAACACAAAATGCAAATTCTAGGCATTATCACCAGCAGCAAAAAGAATGTGCTTCCACTTTCACAGTGGAAGGTGTCTGACAGGGTGTCATTCGTCACCCAACTTTCTCCTTCCAGCCAGAGCTGTAATTCTCTTTCACACATCTGAATCTTTGCACGTGCTTTTCTCTTTGCCCTGAATGCCCTCCTTTCTTCCACCCCTTTCGTTTCCACAAAACTCTACTCTGGAATCCACATTCTCATTGTTGGAGGAGATGGACATACAATCACCCGACATGATCATTACATCATGTATACATGTATCACCTTGTATCCTGCAAGTATGTTTTATAACTGCCTCAACAAAGTTTTTTTGTTTAAGAGTTGTGGTTCTGGGATGGGCACGGTGGTGAATGTCTATAAACCTAGCTACATGGGAGGTAGAGGAAAGAGATTTACTGCCCAAGGAAAGCCTTGGCAAAGTTAGCAGGAGACATTATCTGAAAAAAGTATGAAAAGAAAAAGGGCTGGGGACATGGCTTAAGTGTTAGAGGGCTTGCCTAGCAAACTCAGGGACCTGAGTTTGATCTCCAGTACTGGAAGAAGAAAACAGTTCCCAGAAGCCAACCCCAATGACTCAGAATGAAACTAAGTAATTTTTTTCCTTTACAGTTTAAAATTATACAAGTTTTCTTTTTCCTTTTTTTTTTTTTTTTTTTTGCTTTTGCTGTGCTGGGGATTAAACCCAGGGCTTCACACCTGCTAGGCAAGTTCTCTACCACTGAGCTGTACTCCACCCCAATCTAAGTGTATTATAATGATCTCTTGAAGAGTTCTCTTTCCTAAGAGGCACACACACACTTTAAGACAGAAACTGGGTTGTTTGATCCTCAGCACATGGTACTTCATAAACATGAAATGA